AATACATACAGTGCACAGTCACTTTTTTCAATACATATAGTGACTGTTCACTATATGTATTGAAAAAAATTATGTCAAGCAAATAAACAAAATCTTCTTTCACTACATTCACTACATACGTTGACATTAATTAACCTTTCCTAATGAAAGGTTAATTTGCTTCACATATTTTTTTTCAATACAAATCTTTATTATTATTATGAAGAAGAACTATCTGATCGTAATTTTTTTTTAATCACCTACGCAAAGCTATATTATACACGGGTACATAAGCTTTAATTTTTATGGGTAAAGCTAGTTTTATAGAAATTAGTTCCCAATTCACAAAGAAATCGGTGAACATACCTACTTATTGTCTGCTTACATATAAAAATATACAGACCCATTGAGTAGAGGAAATCCTTATTTCGGATTTTGATTGAAAGCAAAATACACTTACGATAAAAATACGATTTTGTAGTTTGTTAAAAAGTTCTGTCACTCAAATAGACAGTGAAATCCGACGAGTTGCGTCTGAGGACAGTGTATATCTCCCTGAAGTAGTGTCACGTCTTGTCGTACTCGGTACTGACAAATTTATCTAAACATAGTTTTAAACAAAGTTGCTTCCCGCTGTTTGAACACTAACGGTCAGTTGCACAAACGTCCATGCGGAATAAATTCTGACTTATGTAAGGCTTAATTATGTTTCTCATGAAATATTGATAAAGTTTTATTATATGTATAGATTCATTCAATAAAATGCCTGAGTGTTTTATTTAGGCGTCGATTATTTAGGAATTGAAAACGAAAAGGAGTAACACATGTTTTTTTTTATAATCAGGCAAATATCTCTTATTATAAAACATAAACTATATTCATAGTTGCCAAAGTAGGTACAGCGTGGTAAAAAATTACCGCTTTAAATCTTACATCACGTATACGATTAAAACGGTTAATAAAATCTTAACAAAGCAATGTTTCCGTCAGTTGATTACGTCAACAATATAAATACAGTTCAAATCCTCCTTAAAAATTTGATAAGTCAGACACATCTTTAATGATAAATGCCAATTATTAGCATTTATTTTCTGTACAGGATATATATTCAACGATGATGAATGTTGCTATCAGTTCTGTTGCACGAACTAGACTTGATTTTCATTTAGTCGTATCAAACAGCGTTTTCAATTACGATAATAATTAACAAAAGAGAAAGAACTTATAATATAATTGCGGGAAAAAAATAGCTGTCTTTCCGCTTCCTCGCCCATTTAATTATAGCCTTTGCCACGCGTATAGGTGAAAGAATTCTTAAAATTAGTCTATTAGTTTCAGAGCTGATTTAAAAGAAAAATGAAACACACATGTTTTTTTTTTTTTCAAGAAATCGAACCGACTTCAAACTTTTAAACAGTGAGAATACTTATTTTAAAAGCAACTAATACTAACATAAAATATAAAATACCCGTTGAATAAAGAAATTTCTTCTTTAATTCTGAATTTAAAGGAATTTAATACGCTATCTAAGGTTTTTTCGCTGATGTAAACATATCTAAATATTTTGGTGACATTTGGTGAAAGTCATATTTTATTTTGTTATAAAACAAAACTCCCAATTCAATTTCAACAAAGTTTATATGGGAACGCCTATAAACTTTCTCATGAAAATTTCGTCAACTTTTCGTTGAAAAATCGGTGAGCAAAGATAAATTAAAACATATAACGTTCTCATTTTCGATTTTGAAGTCGTTTAAAAATCAGATAATTCCTTTATGGAATATTGTTAAATAAACCTAAATTTCAGTTCAATTTTTTTTTACAGAGTATAAACATTAATAGAGAAAAAATGCCAAACCATCATTTATAATTAATCAATATCAAAATTTGATATAATTATTAACTTTTACAACTTGGCATATGGTTCATGAAACTGAGAAATTAGTATATAGGCTATTAAAACAATCATTTATGATAATTAAAAAAAAAACTGTAATCAATTAATTCCGAATGTAAGGTGGGGGCAATGATTAATATTTGTTATGGAGTTTCAAATATATAGATTACTTTCTTACTTTGTAATATATATCATATTGGATTCTTTATATTAAATTTGTTATAAATACTTATGTAAACAAAAATAAATAATATTTTACACACTAAATTAAACATAAATCAAACTCTCAAAAAAACTTACACCACAATCCCAAACACAAAAATATATAACTTATATACGAAACACTTATTACGATATTCGTAATCTATTGGTTAAATACATTTTATATCGTAAGTTCATATTTATGCTATCATTGTATATTTAAGTAAATACTCTCATTCTATTAGTGTCAAATCACTTTATTCTAATAAACAATTGATAACGTCCTAGTAGCTAATGAATTCGATTTTAATGCATTTCTATTCTTTGTTGAACAACTGTGTATCGATGTTGACATTATTGAGTTGACTAAAAAACACAGGACTGTTATCAATGGTAACAATTCTTTTTACACTAGAAATTATGTAAACTAAAACAATGGTGTTATAACCTAAATGTAACATGCAATGAACCACCTCCTTGTGACGGGATTTTTTTTGTACTAACAGTTGATAAGGAAGTTAGTATTATGTGTTCCTACAGACCACCCAGTTTCCAAAATCATATAAACTACATAAGATCAGTAATTACTTTTTTAAGTAATAACAATTACTGACCCCAACATTATATTAACCGGAGATATTAACATCAATATAATGCCAATCTTACTTTATATGTACAATGCAGAAATTAATAAGAATGAAACAAAACAAAAGAGATCTTTGGTAGACTACAAAACACCAACCTAATCCTAGGAACCTAAATATGTTAAGTGGGACTAAGTACATTTATTTAATGAATGATGTTGAAAAAGTGACAATATCCTTGTTAACCGTCTATAGAATATAATAATTACACATTCTAAACCAATCCAAAAATCAAACAAGAACAAGCCACTTAAACCGTGGGTCACGGTGGGAATGGTCAAATCCATAAACCGTCGCGAAAAAACTACATAAAAGACAAAAAAGAAAAGAAAATGAGCTTCATAGGAGAGAATTTGCTACATACAGAAATATTGTAATAAAGAAACTACGTAAAGAATATTATATAAAGTTGAATAGAGTAAATATAGGGAATATGAAAGAGACATGAAAGATAATTAAACAAATATGCAATTTAAATCCCATTAATAGATAAACTGAAGAATTTTTTGCTATTAAATATCTCCTAACTCTTCATTAAATAATGTAAATGAGTTCTTCACTACAATTGGTGCGAAATTAACAAAAACTATACAATCTAAAATAAATAAAACTGAAGCGCAGCCATCTCGCACTGCTAAAATATCTGGATCTCCATTTTCAATGTCTTTGCGCTATAATAAGAGTTTGAAGACTAAAAGTGTACCAGGTGAAGACAATATCTCGTCAAAATTCTTGAACACTTACAGTTGTTATTTATCCGAACTTATCACGCATATATGTAATCTTTGTTTACCACTGCAGGAATATTTACAAAATTATTTAAAATTGTGACCCCAATATTTAAATCTGAAGATAAATCACAACTATCTAACCTACAGGCCGATTTCACTACTATCATCGCTGTTGAAAATAATTGAAAAAGTCTCCAATAAAAGATTAATAGCATTTATGGAAAATAATAATCTTCTAGCACCCAATCAATTTCGTTTTAGGTATAAACGTTCATATAATGAAGCCGTTTTAGAACTAACCTCTAAAATTTTCGCGTATTTGGATCAGAGAGACATGTGGGGAACATACAACATTACATACTTATTTATTGATATATATTCACTACTAACATAAACATAGACATTTCACATTCACGTAAAGAGTTCATCATCATAGATTTTTAAAAACTCTCTGGCAATAGGCTTGTGTCCACTAAGAATAAATCAATTGTATTGTAGTGTCTATACTTTTATTTTTATTTTTAGAAGTCAACAAAGTTAATTATTTATTATATTTATTATAGATTAATGATATTTTTAAGGAATTAAAACAAAAAAAATAAACATCTTCTCACGTGACAATGAACACCAATCAGAGTGCGTGACGTCATAGAGTGCACTCGCCATTGTTGTTGTTGACGTTTTCATAGTAAACACAAGTGCTCTAGTAACTTTCCTATTTTTTGCATTGGAAGCATCTAATTGATCAGTTTCTTAAAGCTTATAATAATTAGCGATGGAGTCCGGATTTAGTAAAGCAAACTCTACAAATCTACCGAAAATCGATGCTGTTATGCTCGGATCATTTTTCGCAACAAACAGTGATTTTTGCTCGTCGGAATTTCGCAATGTTAAAACGTCTAAGTAAGTAAAAACAAATGTAAACTATTTTGAAATAAATATTATAAGAAATAAATTCAATTTCTTTTATAAATAGATTATATTTGTGAACAACTTTTTCACTGGTTTTTAGGTTATATGTTATGTGAAGTATTCAATAACTAAACAGTTGCATTTATTTTCAGGTCTTCTCGTGCTTCATACGGAGACGATGCTATAAGCTACGTGCAGCTTAAACGTGACGCCAAATTATGTACTGTGAAGTGTAAAATATGCCCAGAACACAAAATTCACTCAAAGCTCTATGGATGCACATTAATTATTGATGAAGACAATGACGTGATTGTTTCGTTAAAATGTGATGACTGTGTTGCGTCAAAAGGAGGTTGCAAACATGCAATCGCTTTTTTATTTTGGGTTCACCGTCGCAGCGAGGAACCATCGTGCACATCAACGGAGTGCTACTGGAAAAAATCCAAGCTGTCAAGAGTTGGCAGTTCTTTGAAGTCAATTACAGCCAAAGAATTGTCAAAGGGCAGTCCCTTGTTACCTGCAAATAACTCAGTTTTGTCTAAGTTTTTAGAAGAAGGAAGGAAGAGGAAAGTGCAGGATTGCGAGCTTTTAAAATATCAACCCTTTTATTCTCCAAGTGATACAGAGCAACTCTCAATGCACCAGCTGGTCTTAAAATTTAAAGAGAAGTGTGTGGACACATTTTTAAGTAAAGTAATTATAACACCAGTTTTAATAGAGAAAGTTATGGAACTGACAAGTGGCCAATCAAAGAGTAATCTTTGGTTTGAATTGAGATATGGTCGGCTAACTGCATCAAGAGCTTTTGAAATCAGCCGTAGCAAAGTCTCTGATGGCACACTTGTTTCATTAATATTAGGTGGTAAAGTTCCAGAAACAAAACATATGAAACGTGGTTGTGTACTAGAAGACCAGGTGAGAATGATTGTGGAAAAAATGCTGTGCAAGAAAATTAAGAAGTGTGGCCTGGTATTGAGTTCTAAATATCCAATGATTGCTGGTTCTCCAGATGGGATATGTGAGGATAGCATAATAGAAATTAAATGTCCTATTAGTTTAAAAACTTATGTCAATTATGTTAAGAATGGCCAGCCTACAGAAAAATGTAATGTCCAAATACAATTACAAATGTATTTGACTGGGAAGAAACATGCTTTCTTTTGTGTAGCTGATCCTGACTTTGCTATAAATAAAAAAGTGGAAATTATAAGTGTGCAAATCAATCACGAATATATGGAAAAATTTATCAGCGAGAAATTAGTGCCCTTTTGGAAACGTAATATATATCCATTATTATATAAGAGTGTAATATAATATTAAATATATAAAATATAATATAAGATTAGATATTGGGAGGTCTGTAATCTGTTTAATAAAAAACTTTTTAAGCATTTATTTGTTTTATTTTATTAAAGAGTTTTGCAAATTAACTAAAGCACATGCTATAATTATTATATCATCAAGCATTTTAATAAAGTTAAAATTTATACAAGCATGAGGCTTTAGCATACAAAATTCTCGTAGTCGACGAATTACACGCTCTATATGGATTCTTAAGCTAGCTATCTGTTTAGTTAACCTTGCTTCATTTTTACTCATTTTCAATCCACTTTCAACACTTGGAGGTCTTACCAATGTTACTCCTGACTTACAGAGATATTGCTCCACATGTTTGAAACCTCTATCTGCCAATACAGACATACCAGGCTTTATTGTCTTTAGAAAATCACTTGACTGCACCAAAAAGGTGTCTGTTATTCGGCCCCCAAATCCAGGGGAAATGTAATTTATTAATCCATTTGGTGTGCAGGATACTAAATATTTAATTGTATTGGCCTTTTTATAATCTGACCAGGTGAGGGCTTGATTTACTGCCTTGGATGGTTTCTGCACCTCAATTTCAAGGCAGTCAATAATACAACTCACATTGTGATAATTGTGTCTAAATGCAATAGGTAAGGTTCTTTTAGTCATTTCACTGTCTAGATTAATGATAAAAGGTTGCATAACACTGGCTATCAAAGGTATATTTTTAATAAATATCTTACTCAAATATGATGGAGTCATTCCATAATCATCTGCTAGTTGATTAAATGTACTATCCAACCTTATTTTATGCAAACATAACAATAGATGATGTTTTGGTATATTTATACTGTCTTTAATTATGTCTATCAAGTAATAACAAGTATTTGAAACACCAATGTACAACCGAGGCTTCTTCTCAATTTTTCTTATTGTGTTTGATAGAGTCTCCATAGCTAACAATTTTTTGTCTTCTTCAAGTAATTCACTACAGTCTGATGATGATATAATTTGTAATGAGTGCACTGAAGGGGAATGACTTCTGATGGCTGGTGTGTACAGAGAAATATCACTGTCCGAGTGGTTACCCTCAGTAAATATATTTTTTGTTACTTTACCCGCCTTGGAAGTTCTTGACTTCTTAATAGTATTAACTTTAAATGGAGAAGTGAAACTTGATACTAATGATGGTTTCAATGGTGACAATGCCTGATCTTTGAATTTGACTTGAGCTTGCACAGCCTTGCTTCTGATTTTGTGTGTTACTACTAATGCTTGTACTGACTTATCTGCTGTTTTAGTTATGTTTTCTTGCACATTTTCGTTGGTCAACTGGAAATCTGAAAATAAATCAAAGTAAATTAAAAATTATTAAAGTGATACAACTTGTTCTTTGTATTACTCATGTTAAATATGTTAGATACATACTTGAAGTGACATCAGAAGTATCTTTAGATGAACTTGGTATACAACTTTCGTCATATTCTTTCAGACACTCTTCAATGGTCATCAATCGTTGTTTCTTCAAAATGTCTGGCCGGTCTGTGCTGCAGCTTGTACGTTTTCTTCTGTCTTCTTGGCACTCAAATTTCTTCGGAATGCAACCTGATTTCATGCGAATTTTCGATACTTTCCCCATGATTTGATATTCTATATAGTTCATCATATCGTTTGGCATCTAAAAAATTAAATAAATATGTATTCAATCACAAAATACAACATAAAACTAAATAAGTTAGAACCCAATTAAACTCAAATAATTCAGTAAACAAAGTATGCATTATTTGTTTATGTTCTTCATCATTATATAATATTCAAAAGGTACTGGAAATTGATCATTATTTTAAATACTTACATCAAAATGATCTTCACAAAAATACATTCTTGAATTTGAAGACAAACTATGGGCATCATCCCTCCGTGCAAGTTTTAACCACTTTCTTCGTATTTGTTCATTGTTTGGAACTCTCACAAATAACTTATTTGGTGTGATTACACTTGTGCTTTTACACTCAGGCACTACGCAATACTTATAAAATGCGGTATTCATTTCTTTAATAAATAAATCGATGAAAAGTATAAAATGCCAAGCCCAGTATGTTTTGATGTGCACTCTATGACGTCATCCAAGACGCCATGACAGTTCAGGGCGTTCAAATGTCAAATTCAAATGGATATTTTAAAATCAATAATTATCAATATTACCGATAGATTTTTGAAGAAAAAATTCGTTATATCGGTGTATTATGTAAGTAAGGAAAGAATGAACCCCTAATTACATTTTATGACACAAGCCTATTATAAAAAGAGTAATAAAAAAAGAATATAGATAAATTGATATATACTCTCTATTAGAATAATGTTCTGAATTTGTTTCTATATCATATTTTTAAGATTTAATAGTTGGAAAATGTATATAAATAATTTTATTGAATTTTGTTTGTAAGACAGTGAATATATTTAGTTATTTTTAAATCGTGTACATTATTGTGAGATTTTTATTTTCGTCATCGCTACTGCCACAGACATTAACATTATAAGTATTGGATTGTTCTTGGTCATACAAGAAGCTTTTGATACAGTGTTTATCACCTTGTCTTACTCATTAGTTTGGGAAATATTGGTGTGAAAGGAATCGCTCATGATTGGGTGTCTGATTATTTGGATAGTGGAACGTTTATAGTGATTTCTCCGTCTGCGCTTATGGGATTCCACAGGGCAGTACGTTAGGTCCAACGTCATTTTTAATTTACATCAACGATCTATGCAAAACAAATGTCTGTAATTCGGATCTTATCATTTTTACTGATGACACAGTGCTTGTGTTCCACAACCCTACCTAGAACTCTGTTTTGGAAGCGGTTAAGATTGATTTGTCTAAAGTAACGCAATGGTTGAAGAATAGTCTGCTAACACTGAATACGGAAAAACCTAAATATATTTGCTCCCATAATACAGCTATTATAACACGTCCAGCACCTAATACAAAATTAATAATTCACACTTATCCATGACAAAAACCAACAACATAATGATTGTAACTGCAACATACTAAAACAAACTGATAAAATTAAATATTTTGGCGACAACACATTTCAACATTATCTGAAAGAATTAAGAAGTTAATTATTGTGTTTAAACATATACGAGATATCGCTGACAAGTCCCTTCTACTTCGAACTTATGTTGCACTATGTCACAGTCTTATCAATTATTCTATTTGTTCATGGGGTGGCGCTTCAAAAACATACTTAATAGAAATAGAAAGAGCCTAGAGAGCTATTCTAAAGATTCTATTCAAGCTGCCATTTAGACATTCAACTATATCTCCTTCTCGAGATTACTTACAGTTCGTAAAAACATTTGTTTATCAATGCATAAAATGCTACCACCAACATACCAATCCCTTATAATCAGTTTCGACTAAAAGAAATAAAAAGTATCCAAATCCTAAATTTATTGCTTATTACCAAGTAGTATTGAGCAATAAAATACACATTGATGTTAAGAAAACTTATAAATGACAGATAAACCAAATAATACTGAAATTATTAAAAGATCTTGACTATAATGACGAAAAACCTGCTGATGACTATAATACAGGTAATCTTCTGATTTTCTAAGGTTAGCTTAGGTTAGTCTCACACCAGAAACTCAATTGAAATAACTTTGTAACTAACTAGCACATAAGACGTTATTCTATGTGATGGGAAAATAATTTATTACAATTATTATTATCTGTGATTTCTCAGCTTGAAGATAAGATATTTATAAGATCCCATTTAATATTCCATACAGTGGCGTAACTACAGGGTGGCAAGTCGGCAAAATACCACGGGCCCCCAGCCCGAAGGGGCCACCGGTCTGAGAAGGCTCCTTACTCCTGACAATTATTATTACGCAATTATTGAATATCCGATGAATTTGCCACGGGCCTCAAACAGTACAGTTACGCCACTGATTCCATATTAGATTTTCTAATATTTAGCGAGGTTCGAATTTTTTATAAGGTGTTTTAAATGAGCATCGATTTATCTATAAAAATCAGGATCTTTTTGGTCAATTGGAAAACTGGTTAAAATGAAGTTCATTTCCCGACCATTCTGACGTCACTATATTCGTTTTATCGTTGCCTTCAGTCAATTGTTGGGATACAGGCCTGCCCTATGAATGGAAGCGATATGAATAGGAAGAACTTGTTTTGTTGATTCTTTATTACAAAAAAGGGAAAACGGATATTATCATGATTGACCAGAAGAAGACGTAGGTACCTATTTTATGAATTTATATAAAACGTGTTTGTAAATAATAGTCCTTTTACTCATATACAACAGACGAGGCGGCGACGCACCCGGATTCTAAACTTGTTACGGAATGTCCAATACAAAGTATTTAAAAATACGTTAAGAATCTTCTACTTTTAAGACCAAACGGATACCTGTTTAGCATAATTTTAACATGTTATAATCATTAGAAATATTTAAAAATGGAACAGAGAAAAATATACCTACGGCCAACTATGACAAAAAATATCATACTAAAAAGGTTTTAACTCCTTATTATTCATCCATTATAAAAATGGCATTTGACATATTTTTCTAAAGCGCTCTTAATTAAAAACTATTTTTTATGTTTAATTAAATTACGTTGACGATTTGCTTGAATAAATATTTCTATCCATTCAATTTGATGAACTTAAGATATAAAAATAGAACGGACTTCAAACGTAATAAAGTGAAAAATAATACTTATCTCAAAAGCGACTAATTGAAGAAAAGTCAGGCGGGGATTTTCTGTAGGTTATTAATTCAGTGAAGGTAACTTCAATAGCATTTTTTGAAGAAGTCGCTTTTGAGATAAGTTTTATTTTCACTTTTTTAAGTTTAAGGTCGGTTCTATTATTTTTAAGTTTTTTTCAATATTTTTAGTGTTATTGATATTTTGTAAGTAATAGATAACACTCAAAATATTTTTCTGAAACTTCTAGCGTTAAAAGTGCGGACCTGTTA